CTCGCTGGTGGCCAGATCTTTTTACAAGCTGGCTCAGTTAGTTCAGAGCTCTGTAAAGGAGAGAGGTAGTTCAGATTACTGTGTTGAATTACATCTTGCCTCATATCCCCGGGTTTTTTTCTCTTCTGAATCTCTTGTCTTCAGAGCTAACATGAACTGTGTGTTTCCTACCCTTTTTTTTTCACTTGCTCAGAAGCCTTTCTTCTCTGTCCTCCTGCTGTATCACACAAGAGAGTCCAAGGGAAGCCCAGTTCTCTCCAGTGAGCACCTACCAGGTGTCCAGTACTGGCAATCCTGGCAAGAAATCCCAGTTAGAACCCCGGGTTTTAAATCTTCATCCCATAACAGGCATTGATTGAGGGGTAGGTGGCTCAAATTGAATTTCCAGAGGGAAATTAGAAACAAAGAGCTGGGAAATACTGAGCAGCAACTTTGAGTTGGAAGAAAGGTGGAGTGAACTGTATTTCGTAAATCTGAGGCAGCTGTCAGTAGAGAGCATGGGGTATCAGAAGCTGAAATATGTATAGGAGCTGTGTAGTTTAGCAGAGCAGGAATGAAGGCGCTGTTGATGCAGTTGTTGGTGCTTGGATTTCATAGTCTGTCCCTAAGGACCATGATATCCTACCTGATTTGTCAGGTTCTTTGGTGAAAACTGCACCAAACCTGGATCTGACTCACCAGGTCAAGCTGCTCATCCCACAACAACCGAACCCGATGGGACATGTCTGTGGATACTGGGAAGAGAATAAACAGGTCCAGAAATGCAAACCTTCCCTAGAAAAGTTTTGTCCTGGTTCCAAACTGGTCACGCTGCACTTCTCTATTTGGGAATTGGTGCAGTGTGGAAACGTCAGTCATTTATTTTTAATCTGTGGCCAGTTCAGTCAAACAAGCCAAACTTCAGTAGTTTATAGACAACCTTCAGCTCTCCCATCCGGAGATCGAACGTGTACAGATCTGTTTTATCCTAAGGAAATTATTGCTTGGGAAGCACAAATCCAGACAGGGGTGCTGTGATAGACCGAGGAGGAGGCGGGAAGGCGATGTTCCCTCCTCAGAACCCTTTCAGGACATTCCAGGCCTGCAGGGGCTGTCTCTGCGCTCACAGAACTTCGGCGTTCACACCCTGGTTCTCAGGCAGGACTGCTGACGCTGCAGACGATGACAAATCCCTCTTCCAGGTGAAACATCCCAGCACCTCCTTTAACCAGTCTGGCCCTGGTTTCCACTTAGGGCCAGCAAGGAGGAAACACCTTTTAGCAGTGGTTGTCCTGCCTGGCGCTGCCTCATGGGGTTGGCCAGTGCTTACCTCAGCAGAAAGGATGGTGTAGGTTGCTGCTGCTTGCAAGGGATGAGACAAGGGAGGAACAAGGAAGGCAGACAGAGGTTTCTCCGAGTCCACTTCTCTCTTCCTCATTCTTTACTGCAGACGTGCAGAGATTTTCCTGTGAGGAAGTGCATCTCTGCTTGATCTAGGAAGGGGTTTCTTCTCCTTGTGTGGTTGCCCTCCAGGTCAGTTTGGCTCACCTCCCTGGCCCAAACCCAGGGGCTGCAGTACTTTTACTGACTTTGTGCGTCTGACAAATTGTTGCTGCCAAGGAATAGAATTCTCTCAGTGCTTGCATCCCTGAAGAGTGTATAACCTGATTTTTGTCAGGAGTCAAAATGTTGCCAGGCGGATAAATATAACTGCAGAATCTAAATTTTGGAATCCCTAAAAGGAGAGATAAGAGGACCCATATAGAAAGAGAGAGGGGAGGGACGATATGTTGTCCCATGAAAGGTTTGTAAAGGTTTTCAGTTGGCTCAGAGAATTCTTCTTCCACCCACCAGCAGTAGTTTTTGAGGGTTTTAGTGAAAAACCACTCTTAATCCCTCAGGTCTGGGTTTGGAGGAGCATTTGCACGTTTTCAGTGGAGTCATTTCAGTAAGAAGCTGTTTGAGGCTTGTGCTGCCCTTTTGGGTGGAGCCTGTCCTGATGCAGGTGAGGTTTGGGCTGGATGGATCAGATTTTCCCTGGAGGCAAGTAAATGGGTAGTACTACTTCCCAGCTCAGAGTGCCTGCCTTGCAGGAAAAAGTTACTGTGGGAACGTCCCAGCTGATAGGTTGCCCAAGGAAGTGGTGGATATCCCATCCCTGTAAGTGTCCAAGGCCAGTTTGGATGGGGCTTGGAGCAACCTGGGCTAGTGGAAGGTGTCCCTGCCCATGGCAGGGGGATGGAACTGGGTGATCTTTAATGTCCCTTCCAACCTAGGCCATTCTGTGATTCTGTGATTTCCAGTGAGGAGTGGAAGTTGCCAGTCTGACTGTGGAACTGTCCGTTCATAAAAAGATCGAATTAATTGAACAAGGATATTTAAACATCAATTTAGGAAGGCTCAGGCTTGGTATCTACCTCGAAAGTTCATTAAGGCAGCAGCTATAAATACCAGGAGACAGCTACAGGATGGAAATAAATGAACCTACTTAGCAGAGCAGATGCAGCACAGGCAGGGCTGTGCCAAGAGTTTTCCTATTGGTGTTACTGGATTTTTCAGCCATCCAGTTTCTTTCCTGATTTTCCAGAAGCTTTTAGCTTCAGTTCACCACAGTGAGAGCAACAGCTGTAGATGAGACGTACCAGGCAGGATGGCCAAAGAGTTTAGGATTTTTTTATCGGCATTTACATAGGGAAGGAGGTCAGGGAAACTTTGCCATAAATTTACGGGAGTTTTGGTGTTTTGGTCTTCAAGAACTAGATGGCAGGCTCGTGGATTGGTCCTGGGTGGCGGGGTCAGCTGAAGCAGGCCTTTTTCTGCCCTTCCAGTGCTGCAGGGAGCGTGTTTAGGTCCCACATAGCGCAGTTGCAGAGGTAAATTAATTTAACACAGAACTAATTACTGCTTCGTTTGCAAACGTGCATAGCTGGGGGCCCGTCGCAGAGGCTGTCGGGGTGCAGCTGGCTGTGTCCATGGGAAAGGGCATGGGAAGGTGCTTGGGGCAGGCAGGCTGTGGGAAGGATGCAGGTGAGGAGGTGAGCCCTGCCTGCGGACACAGCCCTCCATCGGCTCCCACCCTGCCAGGGAAGGGTTGCGTAATGCCAGGAGAGATGGCTGTTGCTGGGTCTGGATGTCAGCCTGGGATATGGCCTGGCCGTGCTTAGGTGGGCAGGGACCTGGTTGGAAGAGACCTTCAAGATCACCTCATTCCAATCCCCTGCCATGGGCAGGGTCACCTTCCACTAGCCCAGGTTTCTCCAAGCCCCATCCAACCTGGCTCTGGACACTTCCAGGGATGGGGCAGCCACAGCTTCTCTGGGCAACCTGTGCCAGGGCTTTGCTGCCCTCACAGGAAAGGATTTCTCCCTAATATCTGATCTAACCCTGCCCTATGTCAGTGTAAAGCCATGAAGATGCTGTTGATGGCAATTAGAAGGACTGCTTGAGGTGTGGGAGTGACAGGGAAGAGACACGTGTGGGAGAGAGGTACCTCAGCAGCAGCTAAAGCTGGCTTCCTTCCACCGTTACTTACTCCAGCTCTCATTTCAAGAGAGGATCTGCATGGCATTTCTCTTGTTCCTGTGGCTCACTGCAAAGCCCCACAGCTCCCAGTGAGGCCCTTGGGTGGGGTGAAGGCATGTGGTGTTATGAGGTTGGGCCTAGGTGTGACCTGTCGCCCCAAGCAAAGACTTTCCTTTTCTTCTTGGCGAGAGTGCAGGGCTTT